AATCTATCTGTCAGATTTACACCCGTATTAAAATAGACAAACACTCAGCTGTGTATTTACATGTGTTTCACAGGTGTGCATATCTGGCCAGTGGTTTCATATGGCTTCCAGCATGTGCAACATACAACACGTCACAAATTAATTTCTGGAAATCCTAAAGTACAGAAACTCTCCGCACCGTGGCCACTTGCTGACAAGGGATTTGACAAATTTGAACGTGCTAATGTCATAAATATATGATAAGGATGAAACAGTGAAAAATATTTTTTCGAAAACTCAACATTTAAACTTGCTTACCCATGGACAGGCCCATGGGCGAGAGTGTTTAGTTTCGCCCAGAATTAATGTTTTGGGGGTTGAAAATGAATACAGGTGTGTTTGTAAGTACCATGACACAAAAGTCAACTCATTTTGACTTAATTCGGATAATAAAGAGCGATATCAAAATATCTCGCCCATTGGCCAAATATTTACTGTTACCCAAGATACATGCTTTTTTTCATGTTTTGGAGTTTGCAAATTAATGAAAGTAAGTTTATTAGTATCATTAAATGCTCTCGACTTAATTCGACTAATGTAGAGCGTTGTTAAGAAATCTCACATATGTAACCTTGCATAATGCTGTTGCCAGGCTCTTCAGATAATAAAATTAATGATGTCACATGAATGATGATTTCAAACCTTTTAAAATGTGTGGAAATAAAGTTACGTGAACCAAGTATTTCACATGATGGAAACATATCATCATCTTGTTTGAACACCAGTAAAATGAACATTTAAAACCCGTTCATATACACTAAACACCAAAAGAAACGTTACCCTCTGACATTTGTGAATTACTTAAAAACTATCAAAGATATGTTAGAAAGTATTAGTTGACAAGAAAGCTTAACAACACAGCTTTATGCAAATCACGAAAAACAAATCTCAAATGCATTCATATTTACGTGAAATGCATCTTTTACAGAAATGTTGAATTGTCCCATTTTCGTCCATGCCAAAATAAACCAATAACAATGACTTAGATGTCCAAGAGAAAGGTTGAAACAAAATTCTGCTTTGAGACAAAGATAAACCATTTATAGTCACCATTTTTCAACTATTAACCCGGGAAACAACATGATACATAAATATCCAAGTTGCGTTTGTAAACATGTGAAACTTTAAAAGTGTACATGATTTTCCCCATTGTAGAATGAAATTTCTATGTTCCACGATTAACAGCTGAAGAGAGAGAGAAAGAGCCATTGTAATGGTGCAAAATACAATACTGGAATGGGAAATTTGAGCGCCCATTGCAATTAAACGAAAAGCGTTGGAAGTACTCTGCGATCATGTATTTGCTGGGGTTCCTGTTTTTTAATTCATGCATGGAAATACCTGAAAATCCGGTCATAGCATACATGAAAGATTTGCTTGTGCATACCAAAATATACGATGAGCGTATGTCTCAAAGGTATGAAATGTATGCCAGAAGTTAGGAAATATCTGCAAACATGCGCAAATCCAGTTATACATGTATCATGTATTTCCTTCAGTGTCAGCGTATATTTCAGTGCAGTACTATGCGGCCTTTGGTCCTGTGGTCCAAGGCAATTTCACGACACAAGGTCAACCTGATAAAGTTTTATCCTTGCGACACTACATCGTCTAATCGCACACGGCAGGATCCACGACATCCATGTACCGCTATGGCCCTCAAGATCTGAACATCATCCGACATTTACTGAATGCTCTGAATCAACGTCTTTGATCACGTTAGCAGCAGCCACAGAACCTCCAACAGCTGGCACAATCACGTAAGAAGAGTGGATGAACATTCCCAAGGCCACAATACATACTATAAATTATTCAATGGGGTGACAATGCTTGGCAATGCAAAACATATGCTCCGGAAAATTTAAAACTTGACACTGATAAATTTTGACATATTTCTTTGACCGTTTAATCCAAAAAAATTGTATATAAAACAGGAGTTAACAGTGTGAATGCTTTAATTTCGTGAAATTGTACGTACAAACCTTAACTTTGCAGCCTATAAAGATGAAAGAACGAAATGCACGTTTGAAAAGCAAATTAATGAGGCCATTCGGTGCATGTTTGTTTCAACTGAACACGCACATTGAATGTGAACTGGAAAAAGAAATGAAACTTTCACTTTAAACTTTGTTTGGAAATGCCACGCCTTGCAAAACAAGAACGTCAACGTGCTATGGGGAGGCTTTATGCTGGTCAGTCTGTGGTCGCTTCCATGACGTGGACAGATTTGGTGGAGTAATGGTATGGGGTTCGTTTTTCGCGTTTTTGGACATTCTCCCCTTGTTGCCGTTCGAGGGAACTTAAATGCTGCTCAGTGCAGGGATCAAATTTTTAAATCTGTCCTGCTTCCATTTATGCAGAGACATGGCCCTGGATTGACGTTCCAACAAGACACTGATTGACCACATTCGTACACAGAGTGTTCTATGAAATTCAAGTTCTGGATTGGTCGTCGCGTAGCCCCGACCTCAATCCTATTGAACACGACGCGCTGGGTCCTTACTGAAGACCTCAATCGAATTGTTATCCACTCTGTGAACTTAATTTTTGGAGAGTACCGGCGAGATTGTTTTTCCCCTCTGTCAAGATGTTCTGTGCACAGCATACAACTAAAAGAATTGTCTTATACCTAATGTTAAAAATTTAGTCCAAAAATCCCGAGAGTCAAGTTTTCAGTTTTGCTCAGTATATTAGAACAGATGACCAATCAGCAACTTGTCATTCGATTACTTCATGTGTGCCGTGGTGAATCTCGGTCAGTGAAAATGACGTGCAATATTTTGACAATTTATTATGATCTTTTGAATAATAATCCAGAGAATATACATCTGAAAACTAGTTTCCCATTTTCAGAGTTGCAAAGTATATGTACATTGACCATTCTGCCAAGGTGAGACTTCAAGAATTATTCGAAGTTCAGCTAAAATTCTATAATATCAGTGCAGTTTAGATAAACATATAAAATACTGTTGCTTTAAAGTTTTGCAGAAAGTGTACATATCTCCATTCACTCATTTCATTTGTTTTCATTGCATCCAAGTAAAGACAATACGACACACAGATTTATACTGAAATTCTCAAAGTTTGACATCTTTGGTAAAACATCTCTATTGAAGAAATATTGTTGGAGTAATAATGGAACTTCACCTACTGAGGGAAGAATGTCAGCAGATGCAGCTGCACCATTAAGGCGTCCCCAGCATATTTAAGTACATTAGAAGACATTCGAAAGGTAGACATCAGTATAGGTGATACTTTATTGATTAAATATCCAAAACAGGAATACATACAGCGAAGTAGAAGGTGCCTCTAATATTGTAGGTGCTTTTTGAAGTTTGCAAGGTCACTTTGCCAGTCTCATTAAACAAAGAACATCCCCCAGGGTTAATAACAGGGTTATATTCTATAAAGTGATGGTTAAGCTAGAGGGACTGGAACAAAATGTCTCAAAGCCAGAGAGGCTTAAACAGAATGTCTCGTTGATCTTATTTCTTACTGATTATTACAAGTGTTAGATATCATGATTTTCAAAGCTTTTTTCTATACAAATTCACATAAAGCAATATGTTATAGGAATATCCCACTGTTGAAAGAGTCGACGCCCTGTAAGCATCAGTTCAGTGTCACATAACCCTTAAGGCACTACGCGTTAAGCAAGAGATTAATGATTGAACGACTCCCAAAAAACTCCAAAATATATTTTTAAACAGGCCATAAAATGAAACTTCATAATGAATTGGGATAGACAAGACAAAAACCATACTGATTTCTGAACTTAGATGTACATAAACATTGATAGGAGGACAATAAAGGAATGTGAATCTGTTGCTTTCAGTTCTCGCCGACTTGGACATCATCAAAGTTCTTTGGGGGAGATTGTAAAGTCGTAAAGAGGTAATTGATATCCCACCAGTAACAGTGTGGACACTACATCCTTGAGCGTGTTTCACAAAGACAGCAAGCAACTAACATAATTTTGGTACAACCAATACATTCGTCAACGAAACATTAACACAGAAAGGTGTTCTTTGGATACCAAGAACAATACTGAACTCGACATGTAATGTGTATATGTGCTCGATGTGTCGATGAACAGTGCAATGGGCCCGTATTAGTTTATTTGTTTACCATGGTATTTAGGTGCATCAATAGAAAATTACGCTTTGAGCCTCTACCAGGTTAGCGACGGACCCGAACAGGGTGATACCTCCCAGTTACCTCACTCGATATATTGACAACCTTTATTTTCAGATCAAGGAAATTCAAATATTAACAAGTGTTTGCCGCTGATATTGCAATGTACCCCGCCGCTAAAGAATGGAATATCTATATTTACTGCTTTTTATTTTTGGTCACATACAAGATGCCTGAACTGACTGGTGTCTGCATAATCACCAAAGGTAGGCTGTCAACATAATTGAAAACATTGGGTGCAATGTTTTATGAGATATAGCGCTTAAATAAGTTTGAAAAGCGGTCAAAGTGTCGTGGTGACCTTGAAGATAAGGTCAAGGTAACCCAAATGAACTGGTGAATGCGTAATCTCCCAATGTAGGCTGTCACCAAATTTGAAGACATTGGGTACAACAGTCAATGAGATGTCACGTTAACAAGAGTTTGAAAAGTGTTCAAAGTGTCATGGTGACCTTGAAGATAAGGTCAAGTTCACCCAAATAAACTGGTGTCTGCTTAATCCCCAATGTAGGCTGTCACCAATTTGAAGACACTGGGTACAACAGTTCATGAGATATCGCGTTAAAAAGAATCGGGACGTTGTACGGACGTACGGACGGACGGACAGACGCCGCTGACTACATAGTTCCCCGTTCCGCGTTGCGGCGGGGGACAACAAAGCAAAGATAATCTTGAACTGGATAAACAATGTGATGCCTACAGAATCATTTCCTCAAACACAGTACATTTTGATTGTCCTAAAACATTGAGCAATTTCAATAACTTACGTTTATTGGTTTGATAGAGCTGATACCCAAGGGCGTTCGTGGAGGCAACGCTGGATCCCTCAAACCGTTCCCGTAGAGCCACGCAAACTGGTCCGGAAGGACTGAAGTGGAAGCTGACGCAATATTTGGCCTTCAGGCACTCGGACATACATTGAAGTTTGGTCAGGTTGTTAACAGTCCACATTTCCGACTGGGAAATCCTTTTGTCTTTATAAGCATCAACTTTTTTGCCGAAAAAGCATGAAAGCATGTTTCAGATACAGCAAGAGTTGGCAAAACCAGAAATAGAAATGTTCCTCTCATCATCGGTTGTTCTCTGAACAGTTTCAACAGAAAGATTCAATTGTATTGAATCCTTCACTAAGCACCCTTAACTCACACATTCACTATCGATTATCGATGCTGGAAACTTACTGTCGTCTTCTAGATGACTTTCCTGTTATAAAGATGCAGCTTTATAAATAAGAAAAACGACGAAGCACAATGTCCATGCTTGCGGGAGTGAGTGAGTGAGTTTGGTTTTACGCCGCTTTTAGCAATATTCCAGCAATATCACGGCGCGGAACACCAGAAATAGGCTTAACACATTCTACCCATGTGGGGAATCGAACGCGGGTCTTCAGCGTGACGAGCGAACGCCTTAACCACTAGTCTACCCCACCGCCGCCATGCTTGCGGGAGTCAACAAACGATTTGTATTTCAACCATGAGGGGTATTTCCAAATAACGGCATTTGGTGGTCATTTACAGTTCCTGGTGTCTGCTCCTTTAGGTTGAAGAAATTAATTAACACGCGCCATTTTGTATGTGTATAACATTGTCTCAACGTTTCTGTCAGCAGTCATAATTATAAGAAATGAAACTATATGACAAAGTATGAGAATCTTTCTCAACAGTCAGATAATCCCCTTGAATGTAATGTTAGACTGCGATTTCAGTGATTTTCTCATTATGCTAAATTTGTTGTGCGACAAACGATCTTTCTCGCCGCGAAAACCTGCAAACTTGCTACCGCGGCGTTGGGCAATTTGCACTCACTCACTTTGTCAGCTATGCTCTCAGACAGAAGAGCAGTCTCATGTCCCGCTCAGCTGCTTCGCCCAGCAAATCGTTTCACGGCAGCTGAGTCCTCCGTGGCAGTGTCAGACTGCTGGCTTGGAGCTTGTGATGAGTGCCTCTTTTTATCCTGCATGTTGTTTCTGCGTCTCCCCTATGGGATTCAGGCAAAGCATATATCCATGGTGCTGCTTTCATAGTTTATGTGACAAATCTGTTTAAATTTTCATCATCTCGTAATGAAGTGTCTGGCTGATTGTATGCTCATCCGAAGACCCTGATACTTTTTTCCTCCGCCAACTAGTAATTTGTCTGTCAAAGTTTGAAATAGCTGAACTAAACTCAAGTGCATAATGTACCTTCCTTTTTCCGAGACTGATTAACTTCCTTTATGTGTCAAGCCCTTGGCTAGGATAGTTCAAAGTCCAAAGTCCAAAGAGAACTAAGTCGTCCCTTGGGCTCACCAAATATTCCATTTGATGTCATTGATGTGATGAATGAAGTTTCGTAATAGGAATGGTTGTACCTGAGACGGATCTGGCACACAGCTTTCCTTCCAATCGTGAAAGTTACCAGCAAATAACGACACATCTAAACAGGCAGAATTGATTGCGTGTAAAGACAACCGAACTCGAAGTATAACGTCATATCATGACGAAGGTTAGCTGCATTATTACCTATGCCATTGTTGTTGTTGTTAACACCCTTTGATGTATTCTCTCATGGTGTCTTATTTAATCCCTCTTACATGTATATAAGTCGGTTCTGTGCTGTATTACTTTACTCTTGCTGGACAACGGTAAAAGAAGCTATACCGAAACGTCGCCTCATAATGAATAAAGAAGCTGTTACCAATAAAGTATTGTACTTTTTCATGTACTCTGTGTTGGCGTTGACTCGCGTTAATATAGGTTATCATGCGAGTGTGTTTTGGGGTGGTGAATATCCTGCATTAGGAATACACATTGTATTTTGCGAGCCATGGTAAGCTAAATACATAGTGTCAGACACCAAGAAAAATGGCGATGCGTCCCACCTACCGTCATCAGACGACTGACCTTTTCCTTATGCTTTAGAGTTTGTGGCCTCTCTTGCAGATGTCTCGTCTTGTCTTCAAACACGTGTAACTGTTCTTTTTTTTTAGTCACACCACTTCAATTTGGGCAACTGTCATGATATTATCGGTTGTTGTGTGACTGTGAGCTTTAACGTTCATTTCGTTAAGGTTTTTCATCTTTTCAATTTATCATACATGAATCTATCGTTTGTGATACTTAAATGAAACTGATGTAAAGCTATGGTAAAGTGTCTTTTGGGAGCTAGTTTACGTTCTTCACGTTTAGACGCAAATGGAAATGTGTGTAAACGATGCCGTCTCAATTGCTTACAAAGCTAATGCAACAGATTCGAAAAAAGACATTTTTGTTCATTTCCTATGTGAGCAATGTAGGCGTAGACGTTAGTTTGTCAAAGTTGAAAAGTCAAAGAAAAGTAGCAGCTATCCACAATTTTAAAACAAAACATTAAGATTCTTCACATTCATAGCTATTCCAGTCAACCAGTCAAACACAAGGGGGACAAGTGCTTGCAATTGATAACAGTATAAGCATCTATACCAAAACATCGCAACCATTTGCAATAAAGAAGTTGTCTATCCATAAATGGTGTAATGAACGTTATGTCTCTACACGTCGACAGATTCGATGAAGACAGTGTCATGGTGTGGGTAGGATCTCCAACACTACTTCACATAAAGCATGGGTCACCGTCACGGTCCGCTACCTAGCTAATTCTAACGTCAATATCTTGCCATGGCCTTCCCGATCACCAGATCTAAATCCGATTGAACACCTATTGGTGACCTCGATCGACGTGTACGTCAACGTCAAATCACGCCTCAGACACCTACAGAACTGGCCATCGCATTGCTGGAAGCGTGGGGAGGAATTTCCCAAGAGCGATTTGGTTTATTTAACTACGCTATTCACGATGCTCGTGTGACACCCCGACTTCGTAGTGCCTACTTAGCACAGGTCTGTTCGTGCAATTACCCGCTACCTTTCATCTGCCCTTGTCCATTCCCAATAATATAATCCCGGCTACCAGCTGTCCACTGTTCATCACCTAAGTGTTTGCTTCCATTCAACGCTAATGAACTGTTACGTATTGGCGTCCATTCAGTTCTCATTACCTGATTAAGTGCTGGCTTCGTTTCGTCCTTTCCCAATCACCCATCAACGCAAGTTAACTGTTGGCTTCCATTGTTTTGCCTTACTCTTGTTGTTTTTACATGTACATTTGTGTGCTCTCTGCCTCATACCATCCATTCACGTGGTGAAGGAGTAAGGATATACTCTGAAACGTTATTAAGAAGTTGACATCCATAAAAACTCTCATCCTAATGTATATCACTTCTAAATGTCATTCAAAGACCTGATACACGGCCTTCATAGCTGGAACATTGCTGAAATTCGAGTGCAGTAGCGATTTGAAGTAGGAACCATAAGTTTGTCGGTCAAAGACACTGACTCACTCCTTTTCGCATGTCGATTATTTAGCAGAAATTTTTCATAGAATGATTATGTTATTATTATCCATAGTACAACAACTTGTTCAAACCAAAGTTTAACTTACTATATGGATACTTTGATCCCCAAGAAAGAATTAAATTCCAGTTGTAAACAACAAAACAAAAGAACAAACAAATGCAGTTTGTTCACAGAAGCGAGCATGGAACATAGTAGTGATACCCAAGGTCATACAACGTTAACAAGCGCGGTTATTTGACAATTCTGGCATACAATCCTTCATAAATCACATCACTTTCAATAACCGAGCAAAATGTCAATATCTAGGGTAAACTGCAATAACAGCATTAACCCTCCTCCTCCTCACTCGCTCACCATCCTGCTGAGATACTTTTTCTATGCATATATCAACCAGCAGCCCTATAAACAGAATACAAACGGCTGACTGACAAGGTTTTGATCGCGTATGAAATCCTCTATGACAGATTTTGTATTACATTCACACCTCATTGCATAAGCATATATGGAATACCGGAAGGAAATTGCGCTAAGTCTTTCTTTAATGTTTTATTACTAACAATAAAACATGTGATGTGATGAAAAATGTAGGTATTGCTTAGTATCTGTAGGTTTATAGTATATATTCGTATATACCCATCGAGCTCTAGAAACACAAGTGAGAGAACAGTTAAGACACGAAGTCGGAAAATATTGTTTTTCAAATGGCGACGTTTTATTAACGATTGACAATCTTGTAGAAGGAAGAAATGAAACAACAGCCATAATCAGAAAGACGTTGAGGAAAGTGCAAGATAAGTAAAAAAAACTAACACTATCAATCCAGCCTATGTATGTACACACAATCCCAAGAATATGGAACCTTCCCACGGCCCATGTAGCTATGATGAAAAGTAAAGGACAGTGTTAAACTCGGTTCATGCATGCCTGCAAACTTAAACACACAGGTCGATATTGCGTGTCGACATGTCTACGTGTGTACATTGTTGTACGAGGAGGGGCATGGGGCATGGATTGAAGTACCCTCTATATTTGTTTATGTTCCCTGAGCGCAAAGGGCTCGAAGGGAAGGGGAACATAAAACAAACATAGAGGGTACATCAACTCGTGGGGCCCCAGGGACTAGTGAACAACGGATTTATCTAACCGAACACATCACTGTTAATTTTGAACTGTTTGAAGCACGAGTATCGGAATCACACTAAGGACTACCAGAGTTAGGCAATTAGATAACACCGACAATCGATAGATTTTCAGATGACATAGTATCTAGTAGACGAAAAAAAAAAAAATTTAGAGTTATCTCCCTTCCATCGACTGGCATTCGCAAAACGTTGGTAATTTCCGTACGGCATACGTGACTCAATTTTTCGAGATAAACAATTACTAACATGAAGTTCCAAATGAATTCCCACAGTTTTGCCTTTTCCAGCGGGGTACATTGAAATTAATAAAAGAGTGCCCAGCCAATCAGAAAACAGCATTTATGTGCGAGGTAAGATAAAAAAATATGGTGACGCTAAACCACTGCATAGCTAGAAGGTAATGACACTGCATACTTCATCACTTGACACTGGGGCCTGACCCAGCGGTACCTCAAGCAAATATTCTAAGGCCAGAGAAGAAAGGTTTAACTCAGTGTTCTACTGTGTCAACAGAAGAAAACAGACTGGTGGCTCAGGTTCTGGCTCCATAGTCCAGAATATACCAACTCTGGCGAGAAAACAAAGAAATACAAAGAACAGCAGGAAGAGAAAACCATTTTAATTCAGATAATGGAGGAGTTAAAATAAATCTTTCCTCCACACTCCTCTCGAACAAGCTCACGATAACGTTACCAACTCCTGAAAATGTTGCCAAACATGTTCAGAAACCATGTTAAGTATATTTGATGAAATTTGGTAATGTTACATGTCCTTCATATTGGTGGTGATGGCATAGTTGTAAGCTGGACGTAATCCATCAGAATAGGTCTATTTCGTTCGCAAGACCATGGAACACAGGGTCAACAATCAATAAATATGGTACCTAAAATCCAATAATTCAATCAAAAATATTGAAAGTGCTCTTATTTAAAATTGCAATGCTTTTGATAATTTAGTTTCATTAGGGCCCTTTACTAAAATGCCATTATAAACAAGAGGCATGCAGTGTCTATCTTTTCTATCTCTAGATAGGAGGCATATGATAATACATGAAAACACGGAATTCTAAACGAGTTACATGAAGTCTGCCTAAAATCATATCTGAGTTTCAACTTATAGAGAAGCCCAAGTTCGCGTTTGATCAACAAAATGTTGATAGTTTGTATGTCGAGACTGATGAACTGTCCTTTAAGCAATGTCGTAATAGGTAGCCCCTGCAAAATGTTATCTTCTTCATATATGGTAGATAGTAAAGCCAGAGGTGGATCTCCCATAAACACAACAAAAGAACTGTAAAACAAATGAATTTATTTTTGAAGAGGAAAATTAGACAGAAAATGAACCAAAGAAATCTATGCACAGATGGATCCAATCCTGCTGACGCAATTGCCAGTTCCACCGCCATTGGATCCAGGACTATATGATCCTGAATACCAGAATTCTCTTCTATTTTACAGTTAAATCAAATGTCATAATTTACAGCACTGGTGTATGTTACTACACAAGCAATATATATGCACAATTATGATATTTTCACACTCCCGTTTGGTGCAGGAAATGAAAAACAATCAGTCAAGCATCGCTTAATCACGCATTAGACCCAGGTTTCATTCCCCACCTGGGTATAATGTGTGAAGCCCATTTCTGGCGTTTCCCGCTGTGATATTGCTGGAATATTTCTAAAATCGGCGTAAAATGAAATTCACTCACTCACTTTTAAAATCGAATTCCTTAATTATATAGAGATCTGGCTTGAGTTCATTGCGTCATCGTTTTCTGTTGGGCACCCACCCATGCTAGAATCACTGGAAACACAATATCTCACGCTCCTGCAAAGGGAGGTCTCATCATATCTGATACATGGTTATGTATTCTGACATAGTCTTTTAGTAACAGACAGGCTTTAAATAGGGAAACGATGGGGGAAATGCTACCCAAAGCCAACGTCTGAACACCACGAGGTGTTAGGTCCAGGAATATGCCCAATTTGGTTACACGTCCTTCATTCCAGATGGAACTGAATGTTGGTCTTGGACCTTGAAGGTGCAAGGTCTACTACCTGTAGAAGCTTGCATTTGTGCTCATGGTCTTCATACCCGTTACTGAACACTGCTTCACTGTCCAAAACTGACTTGAACCTTAATGGTTAACATTTTGCTCCATCAATGAAGCACATTTTGCACGACTGCTTCACGGGTACATGCTTGTGGTAATTTGTAAGTCTATTTTTGCTCAATACCATTTCATTTCATTTTGTTAAGCATGTGTACATATGTTTCACCTTTCTGTTGCATCATTCCATGATTTGCAATTTCAATAAATCAAAATGTAATGAGACTAAAAATTTGCTTTGCTTAACTTTTTATGATGAGTATAGTTAGCCGTTCACATTACATGTAATGCCATATCATAGAAGTTTACCCACAGGAACCTAAGTAAACTGAGCAAGTTGTTTCACTTGTAACAAGACCATTAAATAATGTCTGTGACATATGGGAAATGTGCAGTTTTCAAGTACTAAAGCAAAACAATATATGGAATATATATTGCCTTTGTGTTCCGTGATAACGGGTGTGGTCATCATTATGGATTATCTTCTAAAAGGAAAGACAATAAACACAACATATCATGCAGCACGTTTGAGGTAATTACATGAGACTATGGGTTCGGTCTATTTTCAGAACAATACGCACGGACCAATCATTTTCATGATTGCAGGGTTTTAACCTACTTCAACATCCACCTATTCTCCTGAGCAGATCCGTCGGATTTCAATATTTATGCCAAGCGTAAAAAAGAAAACAGTATTCAGAACAACACTCCCAAACGTGTTGGACAGCCAAAACTCGCAGTCCGGCGACAGAAGTCATTCAACCATGATGTCTACATGAATATATAATATGTTTGTTTGTCTTTTATTCTTTGAATGTTGCTGCCTGTTCACTAGATGTGAGTCAGATGTGTAGTAACTGGGTAAGTCAAAGTGTGTATGAAATCCTCAACGGTCTTTCTTTTTTTCAGTATTTATTTAAGAAACAAAGCACCGACCTCAACCTTTTTACTATTTTTTGTCCATAGAATTTGTTCAGCTACTGCTTCAAAACAAGTTATGTACTTCTTTTCTTTCTCTTTTTGTACATAGAACAGTCTCCAGGGCTTGCGAAAATTCAAACGAACAATATTTTTGTAGAAATTAGTTATGTTTTGGAACATATCTTTAAGATGATTAAACCCTACCCATGTAGAATAATAAATCGTCAGATGTTAATAAACGCCTTGTCGGTTACCAAAGGCATTCCCGCTGGAAGAAGTCAAATGTTAAGCTGTCGTGATTCGCGGTGACAGGCACTCCCAGCCAGGTGTGGGTGTTCATGTAGCAGACGTTATATTGGAAATCCAAGTCAGCCGACTTACACCCGGCCGTGGTGATACAGGCTTCGGGACAGGATTCGTAGTTAGATGACGGACGGTTCAAAATGTCGTGATCCCCGATGGCCAGCTTCTTGTAGAGTGTGAAGTTATTGCTGAAGGTGGAACATTCTGAATAACAAAAGACAGGTGTAGGTGATTCAAGATAAAATAACGATCCTTTGAGTGATGATTCAGTGCTGTAGTTGTGTATGACATCTGAAGAATTGTAAGAGGATTTTCGTGTGTTTTTTAAAATTATTTTTGCATTGGAACACTATCCACAAAATACATATTACAATGCTAAGGTACTGGGCCCCGTTCCTCAAAGCGATCGTAGCGCTAAGATGATCGTAACTCCCATACTTTAACATAGACTTACGACAGTCGTAGCGCTACGATCGCTTTCAGGAACGGGGCCCTGGACTTCTTGAATTATCTTGCTTCAAGTCCTTTATAGGAAAATGTTGTCTCTTCTCCCTTCTATAAATAATGCACTTTGGCGATTTAAAATGCAGTAGCCAAGAATGTCACCCTGTTTGTCAGATGAGCAAAACAGATTTTACAGATGTGTACAGATTTGATTGGGTCATAAATACTAGCATCTCAACCGAATCTATAGTGTGGTCTGTACAAGTTGTTGTTGAGTTGTGTCAGAAGAGTAACAATCAGAATGCATGGGCTCAATCATGTTACTTGTTCTTTCACTCATTAACAACTTCACTCACTCACGTACTCACTTTTCCACACATTGATTTCTCGCCATGTCAGCCATCAACACACTGAGTCACGTCATATCACCCGTGTACACATTGATTCACGCTATGCCACTCATTGATTCACGTCCTGTCACAATTTGTCACATTGATTCACGTCGTGCAACTCATCACATCCACACACTGATTCACGTCATGCCACTAATCTTCACATTGATTCACGTCATGTCACTGATCTTCACATTGATTCACGTCATGTCACTGATCCCCACATTGATTCACGTTATGTCACTCATCCCCACATTGATGCACGTTATGTCACTCATCCACACATTGATTCACGTCATGTCACTCATCCCCACATTGATGCACGTTATGTCACTCATCCACACATTGATGCACGTTATGTCACTCATCCACACATTGATGCACGTCATGTCACTCATCCACACATTGATTGACGTCATGTCACTCATCCCCACATTGATGACGTTATGTCACTCATCCACACATTGATGCACGTTATGTCACTCATCCACACATTGATTCACGTCATGTCACTCATCCACACATTGATTCACGTCATGTCACTCATCCACACATTGATTCACGTCATGTCACTCATCCACACATTGATTCACGTCATGTCACTCATCCCCACATTGATTCACGTCATGTCACTCATCCCCACATTGATTCACGTCATGTCACTCACACCCCACATTGATTCTCGTCATGTCACTCATCCCCACATTGATTCACGTCATGTCACTCATCCCCACATTGATTTCATGTCACTCATCCCCACATTGATTCACGTTATGTCACTCATCCACACATTGATTCACGTTATGTCACTCATCCACACATTGATTCACGTCATGTCACTCATCCACACATTGATTCACGTCATGTCACTCATCCCCACATTGATTCACGTCATGTCACTCATCCACACATTGATTCACGTCATGTCACTCATCCACACATTGATTCACGTCATGTCACTCATCCACATCCACATTGATTCACGTCATGTCACTCATCCACACATTGATTCACGTCATCACTCATCAACACATTGATTCACGTCATGTCACTCATCCCCACATTGATTCACGTCATGTCACTCATCCACACATTGATTCACGTCATGTCACTCATCCACATTGATTCACGTCATGTCACTCATCCACACATTGATTCACGTCATGTCACTCATCAACACATTGATTCACGTTATGTCACTCATCCACACATTGATTCACGTCATGTCACTCATCCCCACATTGATTCACGTCATGTCACTCATCCCACATTGATTCACGTCATGTCACTCATCCCACATTGATTCACGTCATGTCACTCATCCACACATTGATTCACGTCATGTCACTCATCCACACATTGATTCACGTCATGTCACTCATCCACACATTGATTCACGTCATGTCACTCATCCACACATTGATTCACGTCATGTCACTCATCCCCACATTGATTCACGTCATGTCACTCATCCACACATTGATTCACGTCATGTCACTCATCCCCACATTGATGCACGTTATGTCACTCATCCATACATTGATTCACGTCATGTCACTCATCCCCACATTGATGCACATTATGTCACTCATCCATACATTGATTCACGTCATGTCACTCATCCCCACATTGATGCACGTTATGTCACTCATCCCCACATTGATTCACGTTATGTCACTCATCCCACATTGATTCACGTCATGTCACTCATCCACACATTGATTCACGTCATGTCACTCATCCCCACATTGATTCACGTCATGTCACTCATCCCCACATTGATTCACGTCATGTCACTCATCCCCACATTGATTCACGTCATGTCACTCATCCACACATTGATTGATCATCACGTCATGTCACTCATCCCCACATTGATTCACGTCATGTCACTCATCCCACATTGATTTTACGTCATGATTCACGTCTCACTCATCCACATTGATTCACGTCATGTCACTCATCCACACATTGATTCACGTCATGTCACTCATCCACACATTGATTCACGTCATGTCACTCATCCACACATTGATTCACGTTATGTCACTCATCCCACATTGATTCACGTCATGTCACTCATCCCCACATTGATTCACGTCATGTCACTCATCCACACATTGATTCACGTCATGTCACTCATCCCACATTGATTCACGTCATGTCACTCATCCACACATTGATTCACGTCATGTCGCTCATCCACACATTGATTCACGTCATGTCGCTCATCCACACATTGATTCACATCATGTCACTTTTCGAAACACGTATTGACTCAACACCCTATCACCCATAAATCGAATCCTCTAGCGCATGCATTTGCTAACGAAGGAAGAGTTTTATCGTTCTTACTCTCATTTAACCTACCCGTGAGGATGCGGCACATGTCTCCGTCCGGTCCGTAGCCCACGTCACACCTGCAGACTCCGTCGTTGCAGTGGGAGTTAGGGAGAGACGCACAGTCCACTTTCAGCTCACAGTCGGACCCTACCTTGGTCAACGCTGAATTTTAAGAAAAAACACATTCTGAAACATAATTCGTCTGACACTCTGTTCATTTCGATCGTTATTCAAACTCAATACAATTACAAATTTGCATATAACAATGATTGGGAAAACCTCCCGCACGACAGTGATGAAAAGAGGGCCAGAGTATATCAGAGAGCTTCCCGAGAGCAGGATAATTGTAGTTGTTTGTGGCAAGGGACATAGGCATAAATTTCAAGGACGCTTCATTCAAATACTCAAACACATCACTCATATATATTAGACATCAATATAGTGATTGGTTTGATGTAATCTACTAAACACGTTCAGGTTGATATAAACAAACACCCCAACATACACACGCATGAGAATATCAAGCGGTGTATATATATTGTACACCATCGATACCACACGCCATATTGTTGACGTTAACATTACCGGTGTCTTAAGTCTCAATCATACCTTGAAACTGATTATAAAGCTTACCCAACTCAACAACACTGTCTTTTGTAAGCCCGCTTAAGAGCACTCTTGTATTGGTTGGTTAATTTAACAATTCCCCATGCCATTAAAATCTATTATATGTTGACACCTTTATATTTGAAATTGAAAACAAAAGACAACATTCACGATTTCAACCTGATTAAACTTACTTCAATGCATCACATGTCAAACCAGAGCGATATTAATGTTAGGGGGCGCGCGTGCGTGTGTGCGGGCGGGCGTGCGTGTGTGTGTGTGTGTGTGTGTGTGTGTGTGTGTGTGAAGGGTTGCGAGTGTGAATGTGTGTGAGTGTGAATCTGAGTGTGCAATGAGAGAGATTGTGTGTGTGTGAGTGTTTGGTGTTTGTAGGATATCAATAAGACATTCTCATAAGTGTGTAAAATGTTTTTATTTGTCTTTTGTTATGGAAGTTACATTGCATTTTAAATAATTGTACATACACGACATACACTACCTTTTACAATAAAAGCACAGGCAAGTGTATACACATGGACATGAACCGTTAGGTCCCTAATTTTACCACACAACTGCATAAGTTATCTGACTGATCATTGCTACATCTATTTCATTAATAATATATTTTCAAAGAAAATAAATACAATGTATTAATGACTGCCGATGTAAAATACTGTAGAAGTGTAAATATGCAAATATTTGGTATAACCTATTTTTGAGTCAGAATCCAGACATTATTCATACAGACGTTGTCTGAAATTTAAGTTACCACCCGGAATATACCCACACCTATTTTGATTCATGTCTGGGGTAGAAAATAGAAAATGCTAGTGACTGCAAATATTTCAAAGGCCTAGATAATTAAGCGGGTTCCATACCGCGTATCGTTAAAAGGAGGACCACTATTCAAATTCAAGTTGAAGGTCAAGTAGATATTATCGACGTATGTGGTACAAGACTTCGTATCTATGGAAACTTATTATGAAAAATAGTTTACATTCGGAAAAAGAGGTTTCTTAATTGAGTTCATGAAGTCTTACAAAGTCGACCGTCTCCGTGGTGTAGTGGTTAGAGCGTCCGCCCGGAGAGCGGAAGGTCGCGGGTTTGATCCCCGACGCGTCATACCAAAAGACGCTAAAATATGGTACTTGTTGGTCCCTGCCTGGCGCTCGGCATTAATGGGTACAACTTGGACTGGTTGGCTCGGAGTCAGTATAATGTATCTGAGTGGGGTATCCATGTTTCATTGCGGCATGGTATCTCAGTGGGCTAGCACTATAAAACCAGCTTCGGTCTGGGCTAGTACAAGCAGCCGTACAAACACACACACACGCATGCACGTCGTCATATGAGCGAAATATTCTCAAGCACGACGTAAAACCCAATTTCACCTCACCTCAGCTTAATCATTGTCACAATGAAGCATAAGTTGCCATGTGTTTTCGAATAAGTTAAGACCCCAGTCATACTGTGACTGAAGCAGTGAAAAACTAATACTTACTAAAAGAAATCATGAAGGAATCTTTCTCCAAGCACTTACTTAAAGCTACATTAGATAGAGATGCTTACATTATAGACTGCATACAAGACATCATACATATGCTACAGGACGTCTAGCCTCACTAACTTATTGCGAATTAAGAGTTGGAAGATGCAAATATTACCAATATGTTGGTCCCGCCCACTACAGGAGTTTAGTATGTTTACTCTGTAACCGAACCCTCGAGAGAGTTTTCTTGCAGATGATAACAAGCCCTGAACCTGGGAAAATCTAGACATGCTTCATTTAAGGCGTAAGCATTGCAGTACTGGCTGGACGGAAGGGAAAATAATATAGTTCTGAGACTGATACAGAATCGCTTGGATATGGAAAACATAAAGATTGGACAACAGGCCAATACTTGCTTCCGACAAAATCACCTTATAGGTACATATATAGATTCGTAAGAAAGTCAGACTACATACATCAAAAACGTATCTAGGGGATTCCCGATGTTTATTCAGTGTGTACACTGACGATGGAATTCTGTTTGACAATAGGACCAAGTCGACCGCAAATAGTTAAAAGTTTCAGGTTAATGTCTGAAGGATAGCGATACAGTTATCGCTAGCGTTGTAGACACTCCACGTGCTTCGGAAAACATTAAACCACTGAGACATTGCATTCACAACGGAATCAATATTTACTTGAACATGCGACGTCGTTGTAGTCTTTGTCGATGTCAACTGCGTCAACTGTCAGGTCAGAGGTCTACAATATTGCTCCAAACAACGGATCATATATCCAGTGACGAAAAATTCTCCGGAGGAGAAAATGACAGCGATGCAACATCGCATTTATGGGTGACCCTTTGCCTTGACGTTATGCGTTCGTGATCGTCAATTTAAACGGCTTGATTGGCAGTGAAGGCGAATTTGCAAAGGCAAGGATGTCAAACATTTCTATGCATGCCCAATGAGTGAGTGAGTTAAGATTTAAAGTCACATCGGCAATATTTCAGCCATACTATGCATGCCCAAAGTACGCACCCGCCCTATATGCCATCCGGACATAATCCTTACACGGTATAAAAGAAACTCTTTTTCATTTAATGTCTCAAAGAATAAGCTAAGCAGAAAAGGAAACTTTACATGTGTGACTTTCTGTCCCCAACATAAATATATGGCAGGAAGTGTGTTACTTGTGGATAACGGCATCCTGGGCCAGTACTGTAGCAACATGGCGCCTAGCTCTTGAACATTTTCTGGGAGTTGACGTCTCAAGCATGATGAAGTCTTCCAAGAGCGTCCCGCGCGTGTTCTGTGGAATTGAGTTCAGATTATTTCCATGACCTTGACGTCAATACTCGCATTTTGTAGGATATTTCATATAAAAAACAGCTGTATGTGGTACTGCATAGTCATGTTGGAATTGGAGGCCTGGACCATGAGCAACCATGGACGGCCTCAGCTCCTGCACAAGGACCTGTCATGACATCACGTTGTATTGATCTTCCCACGAATGACGAGAAGTCATGAGAGCAGAGAAAGCTCTCCAAACCATTACACTAATGCCACGGAATCGATCCTCTACGCACCAGTGGACATACCGTTCATCACTCTGACGCCATGCTTGCACTCTTCTACCGAATCGCAGCGTAAAATGTTAACTTCCTTGTTATACCCACATAAACCATTTCTCCAAGAGTTCCATTTTTTTGTTCAGATATTGTTCAGATTGTTCAGGCAATCATCAGACAAACTAAAATCAAGTTGCTTGGAACTATTCTTTTTCTCACTCGGCTTGTGTACAATCACTGACTTAGGAAAAACCTCATCAACATCTTCCAGGCATGTGGCCTAAAAATCACAATCGAGACCAACCTGAAAACTGTCAACTTCTTAGATGTGACCCTTGACCTCAAAACAGGAACGCACAAACCATACAGAAAACCAAATGACGAGACAGGCTACATCAACTCTCACTCAAACCACCCACCTAACATCATCAAAAATATACAACAACAACTGGTTACAGACCAGACACACAGTTCATGCCAAAACCTGCAGGTGGGAAAACAGCGAAAAGGCGCCCAAGAAAAATCACATGGTACAACCCGCCATTCAGTAAAAAGTCAAAACAAATATTGGCAAACATTTCCTACAACTGGTAGACAAACACTTCCCCCACGAAAGCAAGCTTCACAAGATCATCAACAGATCAATGGTTAGAGTAAGCTACATCTGCATGAAAAACCCAGAAAGTTAATCCCTTGAAACAACATGCACAGTCAGCCCCCCCCAACATTAAAGGATTGTTACGGTAATAACAAATATCTACTTCCAGGTAAGACACCTGAGAAACATCCAACAGAAAATCAAGGCATATAACAAGACAGTATTGAAAACAGCAAGCCAAACGCCTCGCGAGAAGAACTGCAACTGCAGGCTGAACAGAACAGTACAGAACATTTTATTCTCTAAAGACCCACCCACGGTGGTACATGAGAATATAATGATATACAATTTAACATAAATATACAATCAAGATGGCGGATAATAGAATAGTTAGATAAATTATTATTATCACAATTCGTTTACCATTTCAGTGCATTTGACAAGGCATTTAAAAACTTAGCGAGGTTTTTCAAATGTTTTGTTTTCTTTATTGAAAATATCCGTTTAAGTTTAAACAGATTAGGCCATTCATACAAATAATTTGGGATATACATTATCTGGAAAAGAGCTTCACAGTTAAAAAGGTAATGGAATTCGTCCCCAACAGACGGAGAATCGCAAAGTTTACAGAGTCTATTTTCTCTAAGAGTGCTGTACCAGCGTCCTGTTTCTATCGGTAAATTGTGATTTGATAACTTAAATCTACGAATTGGATTATGTATAGATTTGGCAAGGAAGAGGTAGTTTTCAAAGCAAAGATTGTCTTTAACATTTTGATAAAATTGTCCTTTCGAACTAGACGCTAGATCACATCGCCATTGTTGTAAATATTGGTCTTTCAGGATTGTTTCTACTGTTGAAACCAAACATTCTGATGAACATATATAGGAACGGGTAAT